TGTGTATTCGTCTGATCAGGTATCAGTGACGACCTGTGCAACCCGAGATTTTGTAACCTCACTGGTCGTCTCAAAGCCTGATATCATACAGATGAGCACCCAGTCCACGGAGTATTGAGACTGGCCTATTGCCAGTTAGGCAGCATAATCTTCCTGGAGCCCTTAGTCAACCCTGCAAGGACGTTTTAACATCTTCACCGAGATGATCCGAGGTGGGTATCCTTTCGACAATGCTTTCTTCGTTCGCTGTTCTTACCAATTGATTTGGACACGATATTAAAACCGAAATAAAAAAAGAAAGCAGGAATGAAAAAATGAGTGACCCCTCAAGGTTGATGTGGAAACCGAAATCCAATTAGCTGGTAAAGTACCTTGTAAACGTGTGGAGGTGGAACTTATAAGGGGATTTCGACTTTACATGTGTCAAATCCCAAATCGTACGAACTGAGTATAAAATCTCACATTTGTACTGCTTATTCCATTGCAATAATGCATGTTATTCCATATAGAACCATTTTATGGAAAATGCACTTTAAACTCTGTACCGGATCACCTGATGCAAGGATAAAAAAAAAACAAGAAATAATGCTGTACCAAGAATGGTCACCGTACTTTAAACTGTATTACCGTCACCCCTTTCTTCAAGAGTTTGATCATTGAACTTCTTTCTTCTGCCTCATGGAGCTGTTTCGGTATGCCACGCATCAGATAGTTGACATGTACCTAAAACACATCCAATTCTGTGAAGGAATTGAAGCATACGCCATGTTGTTTCCGAATACAAACTAGATCAACTCAGAATGTTTTTATGCCTCGTTATCTGTTTCGGTTCTTATTTCCTCCATTTCTTGACACATTGGCAACGTTTTCTAATTTTAGTAATCGTCTACCTTTGACGCCTAATTCTTTAGCATTCACAAAAGCAGTCGAGGAACTCAGGTCATTAGATCAGCAGCAGCTTTTGTACCTCTCCTCAGGTACAAAAATGGAACTCTAACGAATACATCAGAATAGAACACAAATTTTAATGCTCTTCTTGTATTAGAAAAACTCACAAGCGATACATCGTGGAAGAACATTTTGTCATGCAAGAAGAAATCGCACTTCTTCAAATGCATGCATTTTGTCAATACAAGCTTCAGAGGAAAAAAGTGCACAGGATATGTTTGGTGATTTCCAGAAAATCTGAATCTTGCCATGATGCAGAATAAAAATTTTCATCTCATATGCAAAGATTTTGCTGAATTTCACAACGTTCACTACTCACCTCCATCAGATCGAAGGGCGGGTGTGGCGCAGTGATCGTAGGCTGCTCTGCAGCACACACGTGGAATCGTTCCCTATGCCAATGGCCCACCAAGCCTTCCATCCCTCCGGGGTCGGCAAATTAATACCAGACTTATCTAAGAGGATAGCAGCACTGGCTCGATACATCGCCACAGAGAGTCATTGAAAAGGCCAGATATGCATTCAATCACCTCCAAACGATGCCTAACGAAGTCGAACGCATGCCGCATCCTTTTTTATCAGGTTGAAACAGTTGTTTGAGAATTTGGCTAGCTGGATATTCTCTGCAATGCAAACTGCCTATGACAGAGACCGAACTTTTTATTAAGCACAACGAAATGGAACAGAAAATGAATGGACGGTACAGAGAGTATAACCTCGCCAAATTTTCTATGCATGAAAAACAAGCCTGTTTTAGATATTTGGTGTGACTAGAGTATCCTGAAGTTTCCGTTTTATATAAGCTTAATTTTCGTGACATGCATTTAACTGTTGTATATAGACCCCTTTCCGCTAAAGTTTTCAGACGGCTATAGCCACTGACAGTTCTTTACACTGCTCTTGCACTCGTATTCACCTTCAGCAGTTCCTGGCCAAATGAAGCTATGAGTTTGCTAGCTATCTCTACGGGATTACCAACAAATTCAGATTTTTTAGGTAAAACTTGCAATAATTGAGTGCTTCTGGAGACAGAAGTCTCTTGGTTACTTCCGAACTACCAGGCTTCATAACGCTAACGAGAAGATGTTGGTTGAACCTTTTGTATTCCATGTCGATGTTAGCAGGAACGACATCTTCCCAAAAGCTGATTAATGAGAGAACTAATTCCAAGTATGTAGAGGCTTTGGGACTTTGCTGTTGGAATTTAGCGGTTTTCTCTTCTTTTTGCGATAAATGAAACCTTTTACGCAGGAAGTGATGGTCTGGCCTCCTACAGAATTTTGGGGCAACAGAGATATTAGGCAAAACCTTTGCTTTGCTGTGATGTGGTCTCTTTAGTTATGCTACCTCCCGTTGTGATACTCGCACTTCCAGTGATGAGAGAAGCGGCTTCTGGAAATGCAAGTTATCACAAATGGTCTTCACCGTCATAATATATACGAGAGCTGTTCACGCTGTTTGTTACATTATAATCCGTAGGTTTCAAATGCGACATTCTTCAAACGTTCTTCTGGGTTCAAACTTAGCGTTAAAACTTTCAGCGATAACCTTGAAGAATGTATGGTCTTCTCTGTAGTTCTCCAAAATCATATAGAACGTTTCAACTTCTTCTTTGTCATAGTTTGATGTCGGCACGTAAACGACGAAGACTGTGAAAGCCGGTATTGATCCACATCTTCTCAATCGTAACCGTCCGATTCGGGTTGTAAGTTGTTCGAATGAATCGACGTTCATGGCCAAACCCCTGCTGACGAGAATGTTGGCGTCGCCAACTGCTCTACTACTCTACTCTATAGAATGTTCCGAGAAAAATCTCTTCTACGTTATCATGCGCGATGCCGAAGGGGAGGTGTCTTCTCGTCCCAGCCAGTTCGAAGCCGTCGTTCCTGGCCTTTCTTGCTTGCAAGACTAAGTCCTTTATCGAGGACTCAGATACATCTGAGCGTGCCTTGTAGGTGCAGATCGTTACCTTAGTCCTTCGTCATTTAGGCAACCCAGAATGGTCGTGAGACTTCAGCAGCCTCTTTGCACTAGTCCTTCCCTACGCTGCAGCATCGGTGGCTCTTTCTTGGTTAAGGGGATAAGATCCACCTATTTTACTGTGTTTAGTGTTTGATAACCGTGTACAGCTTGCTGAGCTCTGAACGTCGGTACTGGGAATACTCACGGCTACCTTGCCAGCCCTACCATAGTAAAGGAAGGTCTTATTCGTAAGAAACCACTTCTAACTGCCTCTCACGTACTACCTATTGTACCACTGCAAGATTTTGGCCGAATTAACTAATATGGTAGAGCTCGCATAGACGAGAATACACCCAAGCACACATGCCTGAATACGTCTTCGTAAACACAGAAGATTTGTGTCAGATCAGCGGAGCAGAAACAGGGAATCCGTCCGCTGTATTCAACTTCGCCTCAGAGAAGCATGTGTTGGCTTTGGGTTCGTGGTTAACCGTATCCGCTACCTGGGGACGCGTTCTGTTGCCTCGCGACTACGCGACACGAGATCACCTCTACGAGGGGGATCCGTGGTCCGAGTAATTTATTGCTATAAATTATTGCAAGGCTCGCTTCATGCACTTTCGCTTCACTTATTCGAGTCATGATATGAAACATAGTTTCGACAAGTTTTGTAAGTTGGGAAATGCTATTTGAAACACCAACTTCGACAATCTTACCTTGAGGATTCCATCCCAATGATAATGCAGTGCAAATGGTTCAAAGCATTAATAAGGTGTGAGACCAAGGAATTGTCAACGAACACATAGTGCGAAGTCAGCTTCAAAAAACTGAAAGTAGTGCGCTCGACGTTGAAGGTAGAGAAGGTAGCTGACGCCCTTCTACCATTGACGCCGATGAATTGGAGAGCTCGCATCAACTTGCGGAAGAAAACCTAAACATCACAACTGCTACGAAGCACTTAGAGAAAATTTTCAAAGTTGCCTGCCGACCACCACTTCTTCACTCATCTAGACAGCTTACTGTGTTAAAAATGCTTAGGAACAAGGCCGAAGTTGAAGGGAACTTTTATAACCTCATCGTTCTCAGAGGTTTAGAATTTCGTACAAACCGTATAGATAAAGTTGCTTCTCGTTGGCAAAAATATATAGATTATAATGGTTTTTATTACGACTGATAACGCTTATTCTGAGCTGAGATATGCCATACTGAAAATACAGGGTGAACTCCAATGTTGATTTCCGGAGAATCTAATACTCTTTTCCAGGAGGATATAAGTTGTGGATTACAGAATCACTGGTACGTCACCATGAACGAAATAGTACATCAATCAAACGATGAGTGTAAGAACGCGAAACTAGGAAAAATTAACCCGGATTCCGCATCCTTATTTCATTCCAAATGCTTGACTTAGCCCAAGTATATTCAAAGGACCACTTCTTCCTAAGCGCCGCTTAATAACGTAACTTATTTCATTGACCGGTCCCTTGAAGACGATCTTATTTAGATTTGGAAGGCTATTATTTTGGTAAGATCCGAGTGACTTCTGCTTCAGTCCCCATGTTATACGCAAGTTACACTTCATACTTTATACCCGTAACTCGTATAAAAGCATATTCAAAGAAACTTCAATTCAATACATTTTGTCGCTTTGACAATTTTGTGCATACGGTAGCGCGCATATAGTGTACTACGTAAATACCGTGATCAACTTCTCGGAGTGTTGGCTGGGATCACGGCAGTATTCGATGTCGTTGTGTCTTATTCCTGAAGTTGCATTGATAAATTCGTTCATTGATGGTTCCAGAATTTCTTATTTTGGTCATTGTGCGTCGTTATGAGTCCTTCCGTCGTCTTCTGCCAAGCGATTCACATAACCCAAGATTGGGAGTGTCAGCTCCTGGTGGTTTCTCTATATGTTGACTCCGATTCTTCTGATTTCCTTTTAAAATCGCTCATTTATTGTCGTGACGTCATAATTGGCAAAGACTCGTGACCTTGTTGGTCTACTGTCATAGACCTCTAGCGTTTTAGTCCGTGAACTAATTCACGCGCCCGATATCGATCGTCTCAGGTGTTCATTTCAGGTGACCATGTCGGATTTTCTTTCGGGCATATCAAATCTAACGAAACAAATTAGCAGTAACATTCCATATCAGATTAAAAAGCTAGGAGAATCTGTGTAAGTAGGCTTATACTGATTCCTTTCATTGTTTTTCCTCTTTTTCTCCATTCTACCTTTCCTTTCAGTCATACTATGGTGATGAATTATACAGAAGCTGAAAATATCGTCTATGAAGCGACTAATGAGGATCCATGGGGTCCCACTGGTCCTCAAATGAAAGAAATTGCCAATTGTACTTTTCAGTGCGTTGTTCTTTTTTTCTTTAATGGTTCTGAACGGTCTTATCGAGATGTCCATTTGTTGTAGATACGACGGTTTTAATCAGGTCACTAATCTTCTTTGGAAACGAATGCTTGAGGATAACAAAACCGCTTGGAGAAGAGTCTATAAGGTGGTTCTGTTTGAGTGTTATGTAACTATTGTGCGAAGGGGCGCTTGTAGTGCAGTGGTCGCAGGCGCCATGCAATTCACACGGCATCGATCTGCGCGCCCCTGGCCCACCAAACCTTCCATCCCTTCAAGCTCGGCAAATTGGTACCAGGCTTATCTAGGAGAGTAGCAGAACCGGTTGGATACGTCGGTATGCCACCGCTAGTCATTGCAGGTGCCAGAAATGCATTCACTCACCTCTAAACGATGCTTAATGAAGTGGAGTGCATGTCGCATCTCTGATTGATCAACGCTCAAAGCTTTATCCTTTTTATTTTTTTAAGTATTGTGCAGTTTAAATTGTTTTAGAGTCTAATGCTTCTAAACTACTTACTTTTACATGGAAGCGAGCGAGTTATTGGAAATGCCCGGGATCATATATTTCAAATGAGGTTTGCTTTTAGTTGACTTTGGGATGAAGTATTTTCATAACATTTTGTTTCATGGTAGAATTATTTTTATCACCGTTGATTTGACTTTCCTCCCCACGGTTTGCCACCTCATCTTAGCTGCGAGGTATTCCTGAGTGTCAGGCTGGGATATACAGTGGGGTGATTCGTTCCCAGCAGTGTCCCTCGAGCTGAGAAGGAGTCCCCTATTTCCATTAGGAAGCCTAGCTAAGAGTAAACCAATGCCAGGATCCGTTACCGTTTTGACATCAAATTAGTCGCATGGTGACAAATTCGTTGATCCACATGCGCAGTGGCGGTGTGTGGTGGTGACAACCTGTGGTAGACTTGGGCTAGCTGGCCTGGGGACTCCAGTGAACTACAATGGCTAAACCACCAAAACTCCGAAAAGATGGAAATTCTTTTGGGACCCGCACAACGTGCGAAGTTAGATCATCCAAGTACCCAAGTAAGTAGGTTATTTGATTTTTCGAGTTAGTTGTGAAGGGAAAACTATGAAATTTCTTTATTATGATTCCTATTCTTCAGGGCTTTAGAGCAGTACAAGTTCATAGACGAGCGGGGAAGAGATCAGGGATTAAATGGTCAGTTTTTTTGTGTTATCGCTAGCGTGATGTTTTCGAGAACGTTAAGAGTAAAAGAGGCAGACATATCGTATAAGGGAATATTTGCATTTCCAGTGGTTCTAATGTTAATGGTTGAAATCCGCCGCTGATTTTGTGGCATGGCACAGAGTTCATCCGCTGATCACTTCGCCTCTTTAGATCGTTTTCGCAGTAGATTTGGTTTCAACTCCTTAAGCGTTTTATGTTTTAATCCAGTTCGTCATCGTGTGAAGACCATTCTGGAACTTCTTGGTGACGACGATAAACTACGAGCTCAGCGGAAAAAAGTGAAATCTGACAATAAAGACCGATATCAGGGGTATACATCAGAAGACATTCGTATGGGTCGTGCAGCTCCTTATGGTGGTATGTTGCATTAGTGTCTTTACTTCTAAGAATGTCGCAGAGTGCCGATAGCTTTCAAATACGTTTTTCAGGTGCCTCGAACAGTTTTCACGATGATTGGAAAGACGACAGCAGTGAAAACTATAAAGATAAAACCTCATTTGACAACAACAAGTATTTTTTAGATTGCTTAGACAGAGTATGTTACTCCTCTTAACTGATCGGTATTGATTGTACTACAGAGATGACTATTCTTCCAAAGAAGTCAATTCTTTTCAATTTCCCGACGAAACGAGACGAGGTTCGGTATCACCAGAGTTAGGATTCAGACAAGATGTGAGCTAATTCAGTTTCAAGTTTTGCATGGTGTATTTAGTTTAAGTGATTCAAAAGACATGCTTATTTCTTAGCCTGCCCCTGAAGACGACTTTGGTGACTTCGCAAGTGCTCGCTGCATTCTTCAGCCAGTTGCTGGCATCGCCGGTATTGTTTTAAACTTTGTGTGAGCAAATAGAGTCCAATAGCTTAGTATTTGTATGCTTTATATTTAAGTGTATGTACATGAACTTGATTGAAATTCTACGATGTTCGGTTAAATTTAGATGATCCGATTCAGTGTTCATTCGGTAACAATAGTTTTTTGTAATTCCCATGACCGACTTTCTGTTAACCTCGGCATTAATAGTCTTTTGTTTTGTAAGGGACATCTTCGTCGTTCATTTGACACAACAGACTATATATGTTCTGTATATGTATCCCAAAAAAAGTGCACGTGTGGCCCAGTTGTCGGAAGCGCCCTGTAATACACATGGAATCGAACCCCCGCGCCCAGGTTCACCAAGCCCTCCATCCCTCCGAGATCGGCAAATTCGGACCAAACTTGTTAGAGAGGATAGCGGCATTAGTTGGATACATCGGTAGGTTCCTGTGACTCATTGTAAAAGCCAGATATGCATCCAATCACCTCCAAACGATGCTTAGTGAAGTCGAATGCCCAAAATGCTTCCTCTTCGCAACTTTAAACAGACATACCTGTGATCTTAGATAACCTTATCAATTTAAACAATATTTGTTAGACATTCTAGATTATGAAATTTATCGGAATGTTTCAAGTTTTTTCGCCTACCAAGACTGTATTGCGATTTACCGCAAGACTTTTTCTTTCAACTATTTTAACACGGCTCTTTTCCCGAGTACCGAAGTTTTTGAACAAAGGTGACTTCATTCGGAAGGAAACGATTTAAAACCTTAAATATTATTTCGGCAATGTTTTTACAACTGGAACTTTGGGCGAGTTGGACATTAAAATTTTTTGAAGAGAAGAAAAAAAATAAGGCAGCAAGGAGATGCCTGTTTCATAAGTCCGTCAGTTGTCAAACACTCTTTATATAGGTTGCCAAAGCTTGTCGTTTTTGTTCGGATATTCGAATGTACCAATCACTAATTGCCTAGATATTGATCCGGCTACTGCTCCTACTATTCCTGCCCTTCGTCCCCCAGCCCCTGCATCCTGTTTTGGAGCTAAGGCATCTTCGGTTTCCACAGATTTACTCGGACTTGACACTTCTAATCAATCAGTGCCTAGCCTTCCTACACTGGATCTATTTGGGGCAACGGTATTCTTTGTATACTTATTGCTGTGTTAATTCTATTAAGGTGCTAATTATTAAACTGCTAGACTGAAACTGTTATTCAGCTTTTTTTTTAGGTACAAACTCCACCGGGGAGACAGCCGAGTCCTCTATCTGGCGGTGATATTCGGCTTTCTGAGAACCCAATTCCTAATGACCTTCTCCTTACCGGAACCTCTAGCCATGCTACCTCTACTAATGCATTCATGTGAGTGATAGCAATGTGTGGTCTTCTTCAGTAGTTAAATTGCACGTCGGTGTGGCTGAATGTGACAGTTGTGTACAACCTTTGGCGTATCGGATTGGAGGATTTGAACAAAATTATTTCCAGTGAGGTTGCATTATTGTTCTTTGTAACGTCCTTAGAATGACCTCATTTCGTGGATTCGTTTGTTTTTTTGCGATTATAGAATTATGTTTGAATTGCTAGTTATTAAATAACTTCTGGTATTCAGAGATGATTGGAGCTTGACTCCTGCTCCGAAGGATGCATCTCATTCTCTGTCAGATTTCGCAAGCTTTGATGCCTTCTCCACCACGCTAGCTCCTCTTTCTCCAGTTACCTCAACGCCGTCTACAACCCCGGTACATGTAAGTTATAGTTCTTATAGCGGTTTTAATCTTCAATGTGTTTACCAACTATAATTTTAAAAGTTGTTTTTAAAGAATGAGTAGTCGGCTCATGAACAGTATTCCATAGTTAGCATGGATACGTGTGCTTCTGTAATTTTCGCATTCCGTAAACTTGGAATAAACTTTTCATTTTCCCATTCCTGAGCCTTAATATATTCCAATCCTCGAATGGATTCCTTTTCATAGATATTTATGTAAAGGCATTTGCTAAACGTCGACCTTAAGTAATCGATTTCTTTGCCCTTTAATGAATTAAACTAAAATCGTTCTCAGTGGATATTACTGGATTGGCTTAATTCGATCGACATCATTTTGCCGCGGTAAACACGTCGTTATTTCTATTCTTACTTTTTACGCATGGGATCGATCCCCGCGTCCAAGACTGACCAAGCTCTTCATCGCTCCGGAGTCGGCGAATTGGTATAAGATTTGTCTGGGAGGATGGCAGTACCGGTTCAATACATCAATAGGCCACCGCGAGTCATCGCAAAGGCCAGATTTGCATTCAGTCAACTCCAACGATGCTTAACAAAGTCATATGCATGGTGCGTACCTCAGGAATTGATCAACGCAGAGATCTTTATCCTTTTATGAATTCGTCGTTTTATTTCTCAGCAATCGCGAGGTTGTTAAACAGCAAACGTGTATTTCCACACGATAACACACATACAACACAATCGTAGCTGACGTTTCGGCAGCATCGCTTTCTTCAGAGCCGTTTTTAACGTGCCTTCCACTGAGGAAGAGCCGCTAATCAGAGTTGCATATGGTTGACGACTCTTATCCTTTTATTTACAAAGGTTTCTAAATTATGAGATCGCTTTGTCTGTATTCGAAGTTTCTTTGCGAACAATGTTAAAGATGTTAAATCGCGATTAGTTACCTTTGTTAACGAATAGTGTTTATGAATAATGATCAATGCATGTTTAGTACACCATTGTGTTCAATAGCTGATTTACTCTGAAAGCATTTTGGTTTTGAAAGAAATTTAATACTTTTTATGTTGCTTCTGCTGCTTATTCCTTTTGCTCGTTTATTTAGTCCTACTGTTCCATATTCAAAATGCAATATGTTAGTTAAAATATAACGGATATATTCTTGTTAGGTGTAGCTCATTTGTTTTCATGTTGATTATCGAGTAGTTCGTCGTTGACGAAGGAACAATCTGCTGGAATCTGTTTGTTATGATAATTCATATCATTTCTGTCTCACATATATGAAGATATCTTTTGATATTCCGGCTGATGTAGTGTAGATTTCTACTTCGTGAAAGTTTTTTACCCTTGTTTTCTTTCAAATTCACTCTCGTTTCTCTTTTATGAGAAGAGTTTTGTATAGAGGTATTGACACCGTTCTGTACGTATAGAGGTTTACTATAGGCAAACCCTTCCACTGATCGTCATGTGGTCAGTCTCAGTATAGTGCTCCAAATTGTTGTCCAACGATCAATGATGCGAGTGGTGTCTCTGGAATCGTGACTTGCCATGACTGGTCTTGGTCATCATGTTGAAGATAAAGTTCTTGCAGCTTGCTTCACCATCTCCTACTCATTCCATTTCAATAGATGAGTGAAACTTTGTTTTTCCACGACTTTTCAATCATGAACGCACGTTCAAGAACCTTAGCAGTCTACAGGCCGATGTTCATGACCATCTGCTTATACAAACACGAGCACTTCTTACTCTGTATTATAACCAAAAATACTGGCGTAAAATTTTTGATTGTACTCAGTACTGGCCATATCTGACTTCAGCCATCTGTTGTGCCGCTCCCGCCACTAAGAATAAGCACCGTCTTTCTTGTTTTTTTTTTCGCTCTACACTACGGTATGTGTATAATTAACAATTTTCAGTGTTAATAAGTTAGGTATTTTTCTTTTTCTTTATNCCCCCCCCGCCACTAAGAATAAGCACCGTCTTTCTTGTTTTTTTTTTCGCTCTACACTACGGTATGTGTATAATTAACAATTTTCAGTGTTAATAAGTTAGGTATTTTTCTTTTTCTTTATTTCTTTCTATGGTTGTGCGACATTTCCAACTTTGTGTTTGGTGAAAAAAAGACCTCACACTATCCCATTCCAGAATGTTGCTGTCATTGTCTTCTAGGTCGTTTCCTAATATGTGTTGAGTACATTTCTTTATCTCAATATTTTCTTTATCCGCCCATTCTATCTCTATTACGATTCATCGTGTATTCCAAGAGAAATCAAAATCAAGGACTAGTCGAAGATTGAATTTTATGCTCCCGAGTCATGTAAACTAGACGCGAATTGAACTTTATCATCGTTAGACTCTTCATCAATCGTGAACAAGAAGACACTTGAGACACTCAGCGTCAGCAGTGAGCGGTGTAGACTAATATTCTGTTGTACAACCACTAGGTCTCTAATGATGTTCAATCAGGAGCGGATCAATAGGTCTTGTTTTAATTCACAAGACCCTTGTTTTTTTTTTATTATTTGTCACCGATCGGTGTGATATCAACTCATTTCGTTCGCTGTTGTTTCTTTTTGCGACGCCGAAGTTAATTTACATAAAACCAGTTTGCTAAAGGGTTTGTTTCTTAGCGAGAAACTGTTGCTAATGAATGGACTACCGCGAAGACAATACAGTGTTGTCGATTCTGTGTTTCGACATTGAAATTCTACACTTTGGAGCTAAAGATGGCAAATCGTTGAGACTTGAGACTGTACAGGTGTAATTTTAATATAGTTGAGTAATCCGCATCACCGAAATTATTTATCGCTGAGAAAGCTAGGGATTCATTAGTTTGTTTCCACATTATGTGTCCTATTTTTGACTCATTCTCACAATATGTGTGGCGCAGTGGTTAGAGACGCCACCGCGACGACACGCATGGAATTGATCCCCGCGCCCATGGCCCACCGAGCTTTCCATCCTTCCGGGGTCGGCAAATTGGTACTAGACTTGTCTGGGGAGGACAACAGCGCTGACTGGTTACATCGGTAGACCACCATGAGTCATTGTAAAGGCGAGGTATGCATTCAGTCACCTCCAAACGATGCTTAATGAAGTCGAATGCATGGTGCATCCCTCAGGAATTGATCAACGCCGAGAGCTT